CTCTCTCTCTTTCCCAGCCACGTGGAGTGCCAACCTTGCCTGGTCCCAGCAGGTCTACTGAATAAACCTACCCCTTACCTGAATACCACGTGCGTGCTGCTGCTGTTCTTACTCGGTTACCTCTTTTTAAAAACCTAACATAAATGGTGCCGTGAATTCTGAGAGTCCCTTTGTGGACAGTCCACATTAGTTAGTATGGCTTCCCAAGGACCAGGTTAGGCCTTTTTTGGAAAGTACAGAGGTGACATGGGGTACTTTAGATGACACAGGACCACTTCCCCATTATGCTAAGTTGGAACACTTGGCTAAAAGGCAGCAGCATCTTGGCTTTTCCATTATCAAGGCACATGCTCCCTTTGCATGTGCAGGCTTGACACTGTGGGGCTAGCCTAAGCATTGTATTCTCCAGCCGCCTTGCTCTCCGGCTCTCCATCTACTGCTCTGAGCTCTGTCCAAACACACAACTGCCTTGGGTGTCACACAACTCTGATTTATCCTACTCTATAATTCCTTCTAAATTTACCCGGTGAAGTTGAAAAGAGCTTTCTTTCTTGTCCCCCTTTTCATAATCCCTACCATCATTATTCCTTCTGATGCCCAAATTTGGCCAATAGTACCTGTGAAGCTATGCTAACTTTTTTGCTCAGGTGCTGATGGCTCATAGCTTGTAATCTTAGCTACTCAGGAGGCTGAGCTGGGAGGATTATGCTTCAAAGCAAACCCTGGCAAAAAGTCTATGAGGAAGTAGCACTGTGGCTCAAGTGGTAGAGTACTAGCGTTGAGCACTAAGAGGCACAGGGACAGTGCTCAGGCCCCAAGTTCAAGCCCCTAAACTGACAAAAAAAAGTCTATTAATATATCCAATTAACCAGAAAAAAGCTAGACTGGAGGCATGGCTCAAGCGGTAGAGATACAGCTGAGTAAGCATGAGATCCTGAGTTCAAACCCCAGCCCAAATAATATGTGTGTGTGTGTGTGTGTGTATTCACATATATTCTTTTTTTTTTTTTACAGTCCTGGGGCTTGAACTCAGGGACTGAACACTGTTCTTGTACTTCTTTTGTTCAAGGCACTCTACCACTTGAGCCACAGCACCACCTCCAGCTTTTTTTGTGTATGTGGTACTGAGGAATCGAACCCAGGGAGGACTTCATGCAAGGTAAGCAAGCACTCTATCACTAAGCCACATTCCCAGCCCCTCACATATGTTCTTTTTGTTTTGTCTTGTCTTGTTTTTGGTTGTAGGGCTTGAATTCTGGGCCTGGGGGCTATCTCTCAGCTCTTTAGCTCTTCAGCAAGCGCTCTACCACTTGAGCCACAGCGCCACTTCCGGTTTTCTGAGTGGTTTATTGGAGAGAGTCTCATGGAGTTTCCTGCTCAGGCTGACTTGGAACCTCGATCCTCAGATCTCAGCCTCCTGAGTAGCTAGGATTACAGGCATGAGCCACCAACACCTGGCTCACATATATTCTTATACATTCAAAGTATATGATATATTTGCATATATTCTTATATATATGAAAATATATATGTGACTATATATTCCTTTCTACCTAGTGAGGAAATATATTCACTGAAGAGATTTATTTAGTTTTTTCCAATCCTAGGCCTTGAACTCAGGGCCTGGGCACTGTCCCTGAGCCTTTCTGTGCTCAAGGCTACCACTCTACCACTTGAGCCACAGCACCACTTCCGGTTTTCTACTGGTTTATTGGAGATAAGAGTCTCACAGATTTTCCTGCCTGGGCTGGCTTTGAACTGTGATCCTCAGATCTCAGTCTCTTGAGTAGCTAGGATTACAGGCATGAGCCACTGGTGCCTGGCCTCACATATATTCTTACACATATGAGGTATATGAATATATTCATATATTCTTATATACATGAAATATATGTGAATATATATATATATATTCCTTTCTGCCTAGCAAAGAAATATACTCACTGAAGAGATTTTTGAAACATCCAAATACAGAAAAAGGAAAGTTTCCATATCCCACCATCTAAAAATAATTAACATTAACATGTTGGTTTTCTCTCCAAAAATTCCTCTTTTTTTTTTTTTATTAGATGTGATTCACTGGCCTTTGGATTTTTTTTTTTTTTGAGACAGGGACCAGCCTTGTAGCTCAAACTACTCTTGAGTTCTCAAGCTCCATTCCTTAGCCTCCCATGTTCTGGACTGCAGGTGTGTAACCACTATGAGTAGATACCTTTCTTGCTGAATTTTAATTTCTTACTGAGTATATCAATTGCTTTTGCATTTTGTTTCAACTGGTTTCTAACAAAGATACATTATCTAGTCATATATATTCATCTTTGCTTTTCTCTTTCTTTCTTACCTTTCTCTTTTTTTTTTTTTTTTGTCAGTTGTGAGGCTTGAACTCAGAGCCTGGGCTCTGTCCCTGTGCTTTTTTGCTCAAGTATAGTGCTCTACCACTGTAAGCCACAGCACCACTTCCGGCTTTCTGGTGGCTAATTGGAGATAAGAATTTCATGGACTTTTCTGGCCAGGCTGGCTTCATTTGAACTGTGATCCTCAAATCTCAGCCTCCTAAGTAGCTAGGATCAAGGCATAAGCCACCAGCACCCAGTTTATATTCATCTTTTATTTTTTTAGTTTATAACTGTGACAGTACCTTTAGAACATCCTTTCTCACCCTAAAAATGTAAATATGTATTGTTCTACATTCCTCCTCTATCCATCTAAAATTTATGCATATATGTAGCATTAATTAGTTAAGGATCTAACTTGATTTTTTTCCCATGTGGTTGCCTGGTTGTCCCCAGCTACTAACATGATAATTTATCAATTTCCCATTGTTTCAAAATACTGTTTTTCTGGGCTGGGAAAGTAGCTCAGTGGTAGACTGCATGCCTTGCAAGCATGAGGCCCTGGGTTCGATTCCTCAGCACCACATAAACAGAAAAAGCCAGAAGTGGCGCTGTGGCTCCAGTGGTAGAGCACTAGCCTTGAGCTGAAGAGCTGAGGGACAGCGCCCAGGCCCAGAGTTCAGGCCCCATGACCGGCAAAAAAAAAAAAAAAAAAAAAAACTGTTTTTCTAAACACTAAATGATTGCATACATTGAGGACCATTATTCTGGAATTTTAGTTTTTGGTGCACCAATCTTGATGTGTGGAACACATCTTTTCTGGTGTTTTCTTGATTATATGCAGTATTGTAGACTTTTTAAAAATAAAATCTAGGGGCTGGGAAGGTGGCTCGTGGTAGAGCGCTTGCCTTGCATGCTTGAGGCCCTAGGTTCGATTCCTCCACATAAGCAAAAAAAGAAAAAAGCTGGAAGTAGCACTGTGACTCAAGTGGTAGAGCGCTAGCCTTGAGCTGAAGAACTGAGGGACAGCGCCCAGGCCCAGAGTTCAGGCCCCATGACCGGACCCAAAAAAATAATAATAAAATAAAATCTAGTCAAGAGGCAGGTGGCTTATGCCCATAATCCTGAGGTCTGTGGTCAAGTCCAGCCAGAACAGTCCAAGAGACTCATCGCCAGTCAGTCAACAAAGAGCCAGAAGTGACGCTGTGGCTCAAGGGCTACAGCAAAAGAGCTAAGGATAAGTGCTCAGATCCTCAGTTCTAGCCCCCAAACCAGCACCCTCCTCACACGTTGGTTAAATGTATTTGTAACTTGATCTAAAGTGTTAAGCACTAAACAAAGAATTTGGCATATGCTATCTCTCTTTAACTTTCATAGCAATTTTGTGAAATAATCTTCCCGTTACATGATAAAGAAACTCATGTTTCCAGAGCTTAAATCACTCCTTGGTCTGAACATCCTCTACCTCAGATGTGGAGTGGGTTTCTGGGGTGTGATGTTGTAACTGAGTTTAGGGCTGAGAATGCACCTCCTGCTGTCTCCACATGTTGGCAGCATGCAGCTAAAGTCCAGGGACTGTCATAGCCAGCGGCCACCCACGCACGGAGCCTCACAGTGCCACTGCAGGGCCAGCCTTTGCATTCATGCTTTACAAAGCAGGAGGCAACAGTCCTTGCAAACTCTAGATATAGAATTAAGCAGCGTCTGCCACACACTAACATATAGAGTAGTCCTAAGAAATATAGGGTAGTCCATTTACAGTTTTTGCCACAGTCTTACCAGAATATGGCTAGGTACTGAATTCATTTGTATCACTTCTGAGTCTCCAACTCAAAAACTCTTCTATTGGATCAGTAATTTCTGCCTTGGTTCTACGTGTTCTCTTGCTTATCTTATAACATTACCGTCTGAGTTCCTATGTTCCGGTTATGCTTATCTGTCCCTGAAGGAGTTGCGAATTTATCCTTCAATAGTGCTGTTTTTGAGTCTCTGCATTGTAGTTAGGCTTATCTCTCCCTGAAGGATTCTGAATTTCCAAAATTTACTTTAGAATCTTTTTCAAAAACTAGATTCATAAGGAGGTTGAGATCTGAGGATCACTGTTCAAAGCCAGATGGTCAAGAAAGTCCATGAGACTTTTATCTCCAATTAACCATTAAAAAGCTGGAAGTAGAACTTTGGTTCAAAGGGCAGAGTGCTAGCCTTGAGCATAAAAAGCTAAGGGACAGTGCCCAGGCCCTGAGTTCAAGTCCCAGTACAGGCACACGCACACACACACACACACTCTCTCTCTCTCTCTCTTTCTCTCTCTCTCTCTCTCCTCATTTAGCTCCTTTCAGGCTTTCTGTCTCTTAGTCAACCACCTTCATGTTTAGGAGTACTCGTCATTTTCTTTTATGTGTTGTGTCATAGAGAATTTTTTTTAACATAGACAAGAGTCTTTGGAGAAAAATCAAAAGAGCTAACAAGCACATGTATCTAGGAATTAGAGATGACCCTCATTTATATTTTCTCATACTCATTTTGCTGGCTCAAGTCAACCAACTCCAGACCTTAATCCTGACAATTCCCAAACCCTTTCCCATGCTTTACTTTCCATCCCCCCACAGACTTATGACTTCCTAGCATAACATAAATTATCCTTATGTTTTATATCCATTTCCCTACCTCTGGTATATAAGGTCCACCTGGGCAGGATCTTTATTTTGTTCACTGGTGATTCCCAAGTACCTAGAACACTGCCTAGAACATAGTAGACAGTAAGTATTTGTTAAATGAAAAAAAAAGGAGCATTATGCACTTGACAGATCTATTCATGTTGATATACAGACTAAGTCCATTCCTTTTAACATCTACATAGTACTCCTTTACTCACAAGCAATAAACATAGCTACTGTTCATTAAGTGCTTATGTTGTGCCAAGCACTGTTTGAATGGCTTTACATTTCCTAGGTGATAAGCACTATTATTAAGCTGTCTATTAAGCATAGACCAGTGAGTGATACAGCTGGATTAAAGCCCTTTCTGGCCCCACCACATTAAGCCACGAGATTTGAGTACTATAAATAAGTAAAGGTATTTCTGCCTTTCTCTAGTGGTGCTTAGGTTGCTCGTAAGTTTTCCTGTTATAAGTTCCAGTGGTTACACATGCACAAGTGGGCAGTTCTGGGGGTCTGTCACAAATAAGGGCCCTATGGCGGCCTTTTTGCCTTCTTTCTTTCAGAAAGGCTTCCTCTGACAGAACACAGTTTCCATGAAAGAAGTTTGCCTTTTATGTCCTGTGTTCTAGTCTAACCACCTATAACCAGAGCAGACATGTAGAAGGTAGTAAATACTTGTCAAACATACCAATGGCTCTTAAATACAATCTCTACTCACAATTACACAAATTATGTTTACAGGATCCCAAACTGTGTGAGGAGAATGTCTCATTTGTTATGAGAATTTTAAGCAAATTTCAGTTTTATCCCCCCAGAGAGTCTAGAAGTGAGAATTCTCTTTGAATCCCAGCCCTTCATCTGGATTCTACTGGAATCAACTGGAAGTAGTAAACCCAGCAGCATGAAGGCAGGAGAACCTGGCTCCTGCTCGCTGTGGGCAGCCTCCTCTAAGTCCTGGTATTGCCAACGGCCACACTTGGGTGACCCCTGCCCTGGCAGAAACAGCCTCTCGAGTGTGGCCAAACCATTTTTAGCTGTCCTTTCACAAAATGTCACAGGTCAATGACAGATAACACAAGAGTGGCCATCCAGGAAAATGGCCACTTTGGGCACTTTTGTAACTAGTTTATAGGGGACCATAGCTGTATCTTTGATCCTAGGGCTTGGGGTTTTTGTCTTGTTTTGGTATTGTTCTTTTTAGTACAAATACAAAAGGAGCTAGGACAACAATTTCACATTTAAAAAAAAACCCACCAGGAATAGTTTTCTCTGCAATGAATTGAATTTCAGAGTGGCTGTACTGTATTGTGTGTGTGTGTGTGTGTGTGTGTGTCGGTCGTGGGGCTTGAACTCTGGGCTTGGGCGCTGTCCCTGCTCTCTTCAGCTCAAGGTGAGTGCTCTACTGCTTAAGCCACAGTGCCACTTCCAGTTTTCTAGTGGTTTATTGGAGATAAGAGTCTCATGGACTTTTCTGCCTGGGCTGGCTTTGAACCACGATCCTCAGATCTCAGCTTCCTCAGTAGTTAGGATTACAGGCATGAGGCACCAGTGACTGGCTTGTACTGTATTTTTTAAAACGCTTGTCTAATTCATTCTTTTACATTACTGTTCATCTCCATAACCTCTTTTTAAAAAAATTTGCAAGTCCTAGAGCTTGAACTCAGGGCCTGGGTTCTGTCCTTGAACTTCTTTTTCTTAAGGCTAGCACTCTACCCCTTGGGCCACAGTGCTATTTCTGGATTTTTCTGTTTATGTGATACTGAGGAATCCAACCCAGGGCTTCATGATGCTAGGCAATTACTCTACCACTAATCCACCTTCACAGCCCTTTTTGCTTGTTGGGCCCAGGACCTCACAATTGCAAGGCATATATATTCTACTGCTTGAGTTAACCTCCAATCCTTTTTTGCATTGGCTGTTTTCAAGACAGGGTCTCAACTTATGTCCAGGCTCGCCTGGACTGCTGTCCTCCCACTCCTGCTTCCATGTCACTAGACGTGCCAGATGTGCTCTGCTGCACCCAGCCACTGTGCGTCCCATACAGCTGGGAGAACAGCCATATGCTACCAGATCTCACCACTGGGATAGATAGAGCTTTGCAAAGGTAGAGCTCTGCAAACTTTTATAGCTAGCTGGCCTCCAACTTTAACACCCCCCTCCAATTCTTACTTCTTTATAAATAAAATTGCTGGCTTAGGTTTTGTTCTTTACTCAAGAAGCCATGCAAATAGCTAAGCTTCCAAGTCTTAGGCAGCATCTAACTTTGCCTTCCATTAGCAAATCCATCCATCAAATTTTAGTGACAGCCTACAATATGCCAGGCCAGAAGCTGAGCACAGTAAATGTTCCTGGTGTCGAAAAACTTTTGTCTCATAAAACTTACAGTTTACTTAAACCTATATAGAAAAGACAGCCAAAGAAGAGAGCAAAGACTGATGGAGAGGTGCTACTTTAGATAGCAGAGAAAGCCCCACTGAGATCCTCTTCATCATATCTTTAATACATGTGGGGAAAAAAACACTGAAAATCAACACTTATACCTCAGCAGGATCGCTACTGACTGTGAAAAGTGGATAGAGGAACATCTGTCTGAAAACAACCATTATGGGGTAAAACCACTATGCATATCATGGAAGCCCCATTTCACAATCCATGTGATGCTGTGACCTAATGTCCTCAGCTATGAAATAAAATCATCCCCTGGATGTTATGAATATCCAATAAACTTAGATCTATAAAGAGCCAAATATACAGGGAGCATTCAGTAACTGAGGCTAGCTTTTCCTTCTTCATGTCTCCCCTCCCCTTTCCCAAGTTCTTACCTTGATAAAAAGATAGCCTTCTCCCAAAGCCAATACATGATCCGATAGAGAGCCTTCCAAAGGAACAATCAGAAATTAGACTAGTTTTTTTAAAATTTTTATTAGTTTTTAATTTATGGGTACCAAGGAATCGAACCCAGGGCCTCATGCATGCTAGGCAAGCACTCTACCACTAAACCATATTCCCACTCCTAATCTTTTTTAGCAAACTATTTTCTCAGTCCCACTGATCCTACATATCTTTAGTTAACTTGGTATGATTTAAAAAATTAATTTGTTAGGTTCATCTATACTCCAAATAGTCCTAGAAAGATGCCAGAAGATTTCAATAAAATTGCAAAAAGAGACTTGTTAAGTAATAAATATCCTCCTATCATGTGAGCATAGTTAGAAACTTGGGGGTTGGGAAATGAAATCTCTCAAATGCATCATAATCAGGATAAATATATATATATATTTAAATATAAATATATATATATATTTTTAAATATAAATCTCATCTCTTCCCATTGCCCCCCATTGGTACACACCAACAAAAATAATAAGTTTTTTTGTTATATTTTCTCATTAGAAGAAACACATCTTATTCAGTGACAAATAACAAGTAGAATGTAAACTTCCTTACCCAGATATATCAGGTTAACTTAGCTCCCTTAACAGGGCCTCTAAATGTTTTTTAATTACACAACATATTAAACCCACCATCATTTTGTCACCAGCAATGCCTCTCCTTCCCCAACCTCCTTCTTCCTTGTTCATTTCTTCCCCTACTTCTACCTCCTCTCATATCATTCCCACACCTGCAGTACTATCCATCCCCCCAAAAAAGGCCTTCCATTCTCCCCACCGCTCCAGGAGCATGGCCATGGCCTGTGTTGTTCATAGCTAGGCAACATCCCATGACGTGGCCTCCCACAAGCCCATGCTGCCCTGTATGTTCCTGGTCCTTGTAAAATATGGATAGCATTATAGTCATCACTCATCCCAACCTCCAGAGAGAGGTATGGCCAGGACTCTCATCACTGAGGAGATTTAGGACCTATCTTAGGATATTCATGAAAAATACAAAAACAAAACACCAAACCCAAAAACTTGTAGTTATTTTCTAAGTAGACCAAAATGATTAATGATCTGAGATGTCACTTGCCCTTCTACTCTATTTTGACATACAAAGACTGGAATGCTTCAGACTTTCTATTTTGATCATGCTTTTATTTATGAAAGCTGTGGTCTCATAAATACCAATGGTCCAGGTCTGCTGGCTAGGAGCTCTGCAGGACAGAGTATGTATTGGGTTTGAGTTATGTACTAGTTAGATAAACTAACTGGTCCCCTGTGCTTAGTGCTTCTGCATTTCACTATGTATAATGTATACTTTTCTTCCTATCTGTTCACCATTGTATCATCCTTTCACATGCAAAGAAAGCTCTAGTATTAAGAAACAAGGAAATAGTGTCTCTCTTGATAAGAAATTCCACGTTACCAGAGATGTGAATAAGACAGGACAGCTGCCAGCAAGCATCCTTTGCACCTAACTGAATACATGTTTCAAGGCTTTGGTGATGGTCCCAAAAGGAAGTAGAGCATTGCAAAGGAGATACTAGAGCCTGGCGACCGCACTTGGCTTTGATCCGTAAGTGAAATCCAAAAGCATTTCAGCAAACTGACATAATCATGAACACTTTTAATGTTGAAAAGGAGAAGTTTTTTAAGACTATCCTCTAGTGCTTTCAATGAAAAGGACATTTTAGTGGTATACCTAAACAACGGACTACTTTATTCAGACATAAAATAATGAAGTTCTCATATACATACATCACAACACAGATGAACCTTGAAGATAATTGTGCTAGGCGAGATAAGCCAGTCATAGGAAATAGAGGTATAGCTCAAATGGTAGAATGCTAGCCTTGAACAACAACAACAAAGCCAAAGGAGAGCTCTAGCTCTGGGTTCAAGCCCTGATACTGGCACAGATAAAGAAATAAAGTAGTCACAAAGGACAAGTAGAGGATGACCCACTTACAGGAAGTACTGAGAATAGGCAAAGACATCAAGTTTCTGGGAGGCTGCCAGGAGTGAAAGAGACATACAGCATTACTGATTAGTGGGCACAGAGCATGTGTCTGATTTTTTAAAAAGTTTGAAATATAGGGCAGTGATGGCTGCATATCAGAATATAATTAATGCCACTGAACTGTGTATTTTAAAGGTGGTGAAATGGGCTGGAGATGTGGCTCAAGTGGTACAATGATTGTCT